CCTCCGACGTGACGTCGAGAGTGACCGACTGAGAGGGAACTAAATGTTATGCTATAATCAACCCTTTCATCAAATAGTAAATCTCAGAAGGTGTACTAGTCAAAAACATACCAAAGGTTTGCAAAAGATACATTAAACATAACATGTATACAAGGGGTTAAAATTTATTTGTAAATTATGACCATTTTTGATGTATTTTTTTTTAGTATGATTAATATACGTGGAGCCCTTTGTAATAATAAACAAACAAATAAAAATAATAAAATAATAATTTAGTTCACGACCCCTTTAATAAACAAACATTCAGTGAACAGGGACTATGCCAGGTACATATGTAGCATTTCTAGACAAATCAATATGCCGTTGCCAGATTACATTGAGTCAATATTTCATTTTGTTTAATAAATAAACTTTAACTTTATCATTGCGGGGCTCTTAATTTCAGAGAATACTATCATTTACCTTAAAGTCTTTAAAATGGAGCCAGACTGCATGGAGCAGATTTAGAAGATGAAAACCTGAAAAAGAATTTCTAAGCTAATGATTTTTATTTTATTTTTTTGTAGGGGTGGAAATGCCTCAGTGTTGAAACATATTATGAATTAAAATCACTGAAGTTTATTATGAGTGTCATGTATCTCAGCTCTTGCACACAAATCCACAATCACAATCATCAACTCACATACTTGAATCTTTATGATCATGATTATGACTCTGATTGCTTATGTTTCACTCAGCCAAAATGATCAGAACTTCATGGACTTTAATTATAATTACGAAACAGACCAACTAGAAAGAAGGATTTACTTCTGAAAACTAGCAGGCTTACTGATGAAGCAGGTTAAGCAAGAATGCATGGGTTGAACACGTTCCTGGATTACCATCCTTGTTTATTAAAAGCATTTATCAAATAAATAATAAAAATAGCTCCCTTAAATTATTGCATGCTTTAATATATGAATGCATAATATTAGAAAGCAATATTTATTTACATATTTTTTTTCCCCAAACATTTTAATTCATGAAAAATGCCACACGGTTAAGTCTAAGCATACCTTGTTGGTTAAGCATCTTAAGCTTCCTTGTTGGGATACCTGCACATGACCTTTCAATGCAGAAGACTGACATCCAAAATTTAACGTGTGTTTGTATTTGGAAGGGTGTTGTCAAATTTATATAAAATCAATGATTTCATACATCAGTGAGACCTTATGCATATAACAATCTTTAAATCTTTCTCCATTTGTTGTGCAGTTTTAACATGGAGCCCAGCTATGACTTCCTCCATATCTATGAGGGTGAGGACTCCAACGGACCCCTGATCATCAGTCTGCAGGGCATCCAGGTTCCTGAGCGCATCGAAAGCAGTGGAAACAGCCTTTTTCTGGCCTTCCGCAGTGATGCCTCCCTGGGGATGTCTGGTTTTGCTATCGAATATAAAGGCAAGTTTCACCTTGCAGGTGTATGGTTTGTTCCCTTGAGGGCAGGGCTGGGAAAACGAGTGAAGCACAACCACTGGGTCGGTGTTCACTTTCAGATTATATTTAAGGGGCAAGTGTCATGAAAACATGTCCAGGTCACATGTTAAAACAAAACAAAACTTAGTGCTCCCCAGGTCAGATGTTTTGCATTGTGACGTTTAAACACATATTGTCCTTGAATTCACCTTGAATGTTTTTTTTTTTCATTATTAATCACACATTATATTAATGCACATGCAATTTGAGATAATCAGAATGATACAGTAAGGAGGAAATATGTTTAATTGCCATTAAAGTGCAAAAAAATCTTAGCGATCCTAAAAATAGGCAACTTTCTTTTTTTTTTTCTTTTTTGTTTGGAGTTAAATATGACCTAGAGATGTTCTCGATGGGTTTCACTTAAACTGCATAATTCTCTTGGCTATAAAAGCCAAGAACGTCAGATAGTTTTGACTGCTATGTCAGTTAAAGCTGATGGACCCTGCAGTAATTCGATTTGCTTTCCTCTTAGAGTAACAATGGATTTTTGTCTTTTATGTGGACTGTAAAGGCTGGTAAAATATCTGAATTATCTAAGAACTGTGTCTTGGATGGAATTAGTTTCAGCATGACAATAGCTAATGTTGAGCATTCCTTTTGTAACTTACTAATTCAAGTAAGAATTCATCAATACTGTAACACCCATTGACCACTGACCCTGATGACCAGATAAGGATTCTAGAGTTTTGCAACTATTTTCTGCTCACCCTAAGAAGATGAGGCTGAGGAAGCTCTGACATGTTAAAAGCACACGCTGGATTTTTATATATTTGAGATGCTGATATTAAAGACCCCAAAGAATTACAATTGGAGGTCTTTGTGGCTTTTAGCCCATGTCTATTAGATTAGATTAGTAAGCTGGTATTCCTAAATTTGACTTCTAAACAAGTCTTTCTCTTCCAGGAAATTGAACACAAAATATTGATGACTTATCTTGCTCTCAGGGTATCATCCAAAATGTGGTCCAATAAAATGCTCTCCACGAGAATGTCCCCTGAGTAGCAATAACAAGTGTTTAAAGGGGTCATATGATGTTGCTATAAAGAACATTATTTTG